GATGGAGGATGATGAGGAAGATTTGGTAAAGGATTGAATTTTTTTTCCATTTATACAGGTAGGCTTTCCTTGTGGATGATTTTTTTTTTGGCATGATGATGAATGATCATTAACGAGGGAGAATCCTCCACGCTGCCATGTGCAGAACAGGTAAGTACCTGTGTAGGACTTGGGAGTTGTTCTGTGTGAGAAGGTGTGGCAGGCAGGGGAGATGGTGGACATCTGATGAGAGACTGCAGAGAACTGGGAACCAAGTCTGTCTCGGCCACCAAGGGGCTATAACGATGCCATTGTTTTTGTCTTGTTGTAGACGGATGACAACTTTGTGGAGGAGATGGAACGGCGGAAAAAGGTAGGTAAGAGTCTTGAGTCAATGGCCAACAAATGTGTCTCCCTGGGAATGTTTTCCTATTCCTGCTTGGGAGCAATACGGTTGGCATTTCCAATTTGCTTGGGAGGCAAATAGATTGAGAGTCAGTGTGCTCCATTTCCAGCAGAGTTGATGGAATATTGATTGATCTAGTTCCCAATTGTGAGCTTGGGCATTGGTACAGCTGAGTGAGTTTGCTAGGTCGTTGTCTTGACCAGCAATGTGTAAAAAGTAAGGATGTGAGACAGATGTGATGTTGCAGACACCACTCCCAGAGGTCGACCGCCAGGTAGAGGAGACCTGGGGAGTGGATACTGCCTTGTTTTAGGATGTAGTACATTACCATGGTGCTGTCGGTGGCAATCTGTACCATTTGGCGTGGACTGTGAGGGATTTGCAATGAGCCCCCCAGCTGGTGCAACTGGCGTCAGTAGTGACTTAATTCACGGGCAAGGCTGTTGGAATGGTTGCCCGATAGAAAGGATGGTATGGGAATGCCAACATTGAAATTGAAAGGCCAGTTCTGGAGTGACTCCTAGGAGAGTGTGGGGAGAGTCTGTTGGTGGATCAAATAGGGCCAAAAACCAGGATTGGAGAGATCTCATTTTGAGACGCACATGCTGTACAACTGACATCATAGAGGCCATGGTGTCTTGAACTTGTTGCACCGCTAAGGCAGGTATCAAGGCATGCAGAGTGAAGCCGTAAAGTAAGGTGAAGAGATTTTGTCTCTTTTCTGTAGGGAGGAATGGACAAGCTCATGTGGAGTCTATGAGTGTGCCTATGTAATGTATAGTCCTTGTAGGTTTTAATTTTGATTTCTGTTTGTTCATAGTTAGACCAGGATCGTGAAGAAGGGTGAGGGTGAAACGGGTGTCTTGTCAAGCTTTGCAACAGGAGTGTGCTACAAGGAGCCAGTCATTGTTATATGGAAAGACAAGAATGTTTTGAAGTCTGAGGTAGGCAGCTACCAGCGCCATGTACTTGGTGAATACTCTCAGAGCTGTTGCAAGGCCAAATGGGAGTCTTTTGAATTGGTATGCTTGTGATTCAAGTTGGAAACAAAAGAATTTTCTGTGTGCAGGATTTATTGCAATATGAAACTAAGCATCTCTTACGTCTATGACAGTGGACCAGTCATTTTTTCGAAGTAAAGCAAGAACTGATTCTAGAGTAACCATGAGGAATTCTGTGGTGACGATGTAGCTGTTTAATAATGTTAAATCTCGAATACGGGGAAGACCCCCCATCTTTCTTGGGCACGGTGAAATAGCGAGAAAAAAGTATGAATTATAAGAGGTTTGTCATGGAGGGTCTCGTTGGAACCTCTGGTACGAGTTATAGGGTCATTTCCATTGATTTTGCTGAGGATGTTGCTGGTAGGAAGGATAAACTCCCCAATGTCTGGCTGTTGAATGTTTCTTTTGAATGTTCTCTGGTATATCATCGGTTTCAGCATGAAAAAGACCTGCTCCATCGAAGGGAGGTCTTCGATACGTGCCCGAGCGTCATCGGCTAAGCTGGTCATTCTGAGCCAGGAAAAATGGCATAGGGCTACTGAGGTAGCCATGGACTTGGCTGTAGCATCTACAGTGTGGCGGGGGGGGGGAGGGCATCTGTTGTTTAGCAATGGAGAGACCTTGTTGTTGGAAGGTTTGAGCTAGTATCTTTTTATCCTCTGGCAAGGAATCAATAAAGGTGGACATGTTGTCCCAGAGAAAGTGTTGGTAAGCTCTCATAGCTCCTTGGAAATTAACGACTCACATAATGAAGGCTGCGGAAGAGTAAAGCCATCTACCCATGGAGTCTATTTGTCGGCTGTCTTTATTTGGTGGTATGAGAGATTGTTGGTGTCGAGATCTCGATTGAGAGGCTTCGACAAATATAGAATTTGAAGTTGGTTGTTTTTGGAGGAAAATGGTTCCTGGGTCATGGATTCTATAGAGGTTATCAATCCGTTTAGACATGGTATGGGAGGAAGCTGGTTTTGTCCAGGATCTGTGTGCAGTACTAAGGAGAGGTGGCAACAATGATATGTGTACTGGAGTGGTTGTATTTTTAGAGATTAGATCATATAGATGATTGGCTAGTTCTGTTGATGGTCAGTGGACTTGCAGAATAAAGGATTTAGCCATGCGAAACTTAAGTTGGGCATAGGTCTGGGAATCCTCTGCTAGTGATAGCGGGTCGGTATCAACAATGTCCGACCCTCCATGACAAACCTCTTACAATCCATACTTTTCTCACACTATTTCACCATCCCCAAGAAAGACGGGGGTCTTCACCCTATTCTAGATTTAAGATTATTAAACAGCTACATCGTCACCACAGAATTCTTCCCGGTTAGGAGCACACGGTTAGGAGAAAAACCAATGATTGGGGGGGGTGCTGCGGCCAGAGGCTGAGCGAGGGGAAAGGAAAACTCTCTGATGATAAAGAGTTTGATTTAATCGTTTAAAAGAAAAAGATTGATAACAGAAAGGAATCAAGAATAAGCTCTCTTTCTCTTTTACTCACAGAAGCAGAATTATGAGGCTGTCAACGCAGCAGTTGAAAGAAACAGAAAGGGGACGCTTGGTGCCAAGGTACTTATATGGGTGGGGAGGGGCATATTCTAATGTGTTCATTGCTCTAGAATCTTCTGAATAGGCTCCGTGCAAGGGCAAATCACTCAGGGTGTGATTCACAGAGGCCACGAAGAAGAATGTGAGGAACAAGTGAGATGGGTTGCTGTTTTGTTTAAATCAAATGCATCCTAAAACTTAGGAGCACCTGTATTTACAGGACTCTTGCTTTTCATCTAAAAAACAAGGTTGCATTCATAAATATAGTAAAAAGATAAATACTTACGCTATATGTGGACACAGCACGAAGAGCTTGTAAAATACAGCAACTCTTTGCATCGTTGCCAAACTTCTGCATTTTATGAAGCACAGTACTGTGCAGTCCAGTCCTGAAGTGAATACTTTGTCTTCTGGATCTATATATGCGCCTCGTAGCCCACATTTCTTTGAATTTAGATAATACCCCAACTAGCTTAAAGAAGATTCATCTTGCTGTCCAGCAGTATAAGAAATACAGCACATAAAGTAGTTTTGGGGTTTTTAAACAGTGGAAGTAATAATGAGGTCTACAAATAATCCTATATATAATATGAAGGTTACCTGGTTAAAAAAAGAAAAAAAAACAGGTCAGGATGCTGTTGCAAAGCAAAGAGCTGTGCAGGAGAATCAAAATGACTGAGGTAGGAGGTGACAGTCAAAGGGGGACTTTCAAATCACTACACACAGTCACAATGCTAATGAAGAGAGTTTTAGCACATCCAACACAGAACGTCTACACCATTTCTTAAAGGCCTGAAGTTGCATACACATACCCCGGGAAGGAACAAAAGTACAGTTCTTAACCTGACAGGAACAAACCGAGGGTATGATTACACAGGAGAAAAACTAAGATTAATTAATTGAGATTTGCACCCATGCAAATCAGCTTTCCACAGGTGAAATAGCTGTGGCTGTCCAGACAACAATGTGAAAGAGTTGACAGAAGCAGGGGCAGAAGAATTGGTGTGCACTCAGCTCCAAGCGCAGAGGATGCCTTAAGAAGATGCTAACAAGTGCTGAATGGCAATTTCCATCTCTCGCTCTCTCTCTTCTTTATTTTTTTACTGGTTTCCCAAGGGCTCTAGTGAAACTCTGTTTCAGTGTTGCAGCGAAGCACTTTTTCAAAAAAAGAAGAAACAGTCTGAAGACAAGGAGTGCTGAGCTGAGAGGAACTGGCACACCCTTGTGGGCATCCTTTTGATTCAGATCAGGCAATTCTACCATGCAAAAAGTGGATAATTCCCCACTCAAAATAGATGATTCTGCAAGGGGCTTCCTTGCATTCAGCTTGAAGTCAGGTAGTTAGATTTTAATTTAAATTCACGAGTGCCTAATCCAAGGTAATTTGCAGAGTTAATGGCCAACATAGTTCCCTCTAGGATGAATATCAAGTGATTTCTTAGCAACTGGTCTTATAATTGCAAGTCAGTGTGGTGTAGTGGACCGAGTATCAAAGTAGGACTCAGAGTTGGGTTCAAATCCCTGCTCAATCCTGGAAACTGACTAGGAGGTAGCAAGGGTAAATCACTCACTGAATATTTCCCAGCAAAAACGTTGTCCTTTTTTCAGTAGAGTTCCTTTATTTCTTTTTTAAGAGGCAAAAATTCAAGCTGTGTACTTTTTGTTTAACAAAAATCTACCTGTTTCCTTCCTGATAAACACCTTTTGATGACACAGGGGAAAAAATAGGAATATTATTGTTTATAGTTGCAGAGAACTAAAGGCTGTTAAGTACTTTCTGAGGACATGTTTAGGAAAGGTGGAGCTCTGATTGTCCTGCTTCCTATTATTTATTTGTGTACAATAGCCAAAATACAGTAATACAACAATCTGATGCCAAGATGCTTGAGTACAGAGTAAGTGCTCATTAGTGTCACATACCACTAGTTATTAAGGCATTACTAACAAGGACTGAGACTGAGCCAACAGTCCAGAGATTTAAGGCATCATAATTTACTACTTACTTTGTTGAATCACCCAGCACTTTTGCACAGTGGTAACAAATCTAATGAGCTTGGTCAAGCAACCAAATTTAAATCACTAACAGCACCATTGATCTAGCACCACAGTAAAACTGGCAGAGCACATGTGAAAGCAAGCCTGTTTGGCAACAATTCACCTTCTCTCTCTCTTTGCTTCCCATCTGGAACTCAAACACAAGACCTAATCCAGTTTGAGAGTTACAGAGGGATGAAGCAAAGGTGGAATTCTGCCTGAATTTTAAGATTTCCCATATGCTGCTGCTTACAACTACCCAGGCACAACCTCCAGTCTATTCATAGAAGAAGATTATGATGATGATGATGAATTGTGTATCATTAAGTCAATTCTGACTTATGGAGAGCCTTTCCAAGGTTTTCTAGGCAAAATATTCAGAATTGGTTTACCATTGTGGAATTGTGAAGAGCTCCAGAAGGAACTCTCCAAACTGGGAGAATGGGCAGCAAAATGGCAAATGTGTTTCAGTATGGGAAAATGGAAAGTAATGCACACTGGGGCAAAAAAGTCAAAACTTTATCAACCGATGGGTTTTGAGTTGTCCATGACAAATCAGGAAAGAAATCTTGGGGTGCTGGTGGACAGCTCGATGAAAGTGTCAACCCAGTATGCGGCCACAGTAAAGAAAGCCAATTCCATGCTAGGGATCATTAAAATCGGGACTGAAAATAAAACAGCCAACATATAATGCCATTGTACAAAACGCTGGTAAGGCTGCACCCAGAGCATTGTGTACAGTTCTGGTCGCAACACCTCCAAACAGACCTAGTGGAAGTGGAAAAGAAGCAGAAGACAGTGACTAAAATGATGACTGGGCTGGGGCACCTCCCTTAAGAGGAAAGGCTACAGCATTTGGGGCTCTTTAATCTAGAGAAAAGGTGCCTGAGGGGGGACATGACTGAGACATATACAATTATGCAGGGGATGGATAAAGTGGAGAGAGGAAAGCTCTTTTCCCTCTCACGCAATGGCAGAACTAGAGGATATCTACTCAAACTGAGTGTTGGCAGAGTGAGAATAGACAAAAGAAAATGTTTCTTGACCTAGCATGCTGTTAGTCTGTGGAACTCCGTGCCACAGAATGTGGTGATGGCATCTGGCCTAAATGCCTTTAAAAGGAGATTGGACAGATTTCTGGAGGAAAAGTCCATCGTATGTTACAAGCTATGGTGTACAATCTCCAGGCTTAAAAGGAAGGTACCTCAAAATGCCAGATGCAGGG